GGAATGCATAATGTTTTGTAGGTCAAATATTTATATGAAATAAAATAAAAATAAAGGTTTTACTATCTTTATGAAGGCAAATATTGTGAATGTGTTATTAAACACGTGTTACTGAACACATGTCGCTGCTCACAGAGCTCTGACTGAACTTGCATTTTGGTTTTTGCTAAATTATTGTCGAAATGATAAAAAAAACGTCATTCCTTAATGTCAATAAGAATAAAAAGAATAACGTGTTTAATATTTGTTTTAGTAGTGAAATGTACAAACAAGCAGCTGTGGTCGCTCCAGCAGAAGCTGTGCTTCATCACTTTGGTTACATCATCGAAAATCAATAAAAATAAAATAAAATAAAACAAGTGCGTACTGAAAGTGTGCAAAGTCAAATAATACTGTCAAGAACCTGACAAACGGCTTCACAAGCTCACAGAACAACTGTACCAACAGCTCTGAAACAGACTGCAGTTTGTCTGGAAGCAGGGCGCCCCCTGCTGGACGTGTCAGAGACTTCACCCTCCTCCTCCTCTACAGGCAGATGTTGATCTGTTTGGCCAGTTCTCGGTCCAGATCGTGGATCAAGGTGTCAAAGTCCTTCAGGCTGAGTCGGCAGTGGAACGGAGCATCAAAGTCCACGAACTCGTCCACAAAGAGACCACTTCCTGCTCCTCCTGAAGACCACACCTCCTTCTGCTCCTCCTCTTCTTCATCCTCACTGCCTGAAACGAGAAGGAGGAGTCAGTGACATCGGTTCTGTTGAGAAACTTCCTACATGAGATCCTCCAGGTGGATCTGGTTGATGAGGAGGTCTGAGTCTCAGTGGTCCTGGTAGTTTTACCTTCATCGCTCTCGCTCGCCGCCACCTCGTCATAATCGGCTTCCTGTTCCGACAGAAGCTTTTTGCCGCAGACGCTCCAGTCTCCAGCGTACCGGTTGATGGGCGGCGGACTCTCCAGTCGGGTCACCCTGCCGCGGCGGGACACCACCACCTCCTCCAGGTTCGGAGACAAAGCGAGTCTCAGGAAGGGGTGGCGCTGCTGCGGCAGCTGACCCAGGACGTCCTGGGTCAGGATGGAGGAGGACACGGTGGGAAAGTGGGTGTGGTCGTCTGCTGGGATTCGATGAGCTGGCACTGAGGAGGAACACGTGGAAGGTCAGATGTGATTTTTCTTTTTTTTTAAAACTCAGAACCTCCTGGTCTCACCGGGCCACAGCTGCAGCAAGTAGTGCAGCGCCTCGATGTGCCGTTTAAAGTCCACCGCGCTCACCATCTCTTCACCGGGACCGAACAACTTCCCCACTCCTCGACCCACCTTCCCCGCTTTTCCTTTGGCCCTCCACATCTCCTGGGTCGACTTGAGGAGCACCGGGCCAAAGCAGACCGCCAGGTTCTGGTGGGTCATCCTGTTGAAGGAGCTGAAGGAGGCCACCAGGCTGAGGTGGTCCAGCAGGAGCGACAGTGTTGCCTGAAGAAGGAGGCTGACAATCAATAAGTAATCATCAACTGCCACACAGACCAATATTTGCGTTTTGACTCCCACCACCCACTGGAACACAAGTTAGGAGTGATCAGGACTCTGTACCACAGAGCAGACAGTGTC